CCCAAGTGAATGTGAGCTCAAAATCTATCTCTAGAATCTAGAAACTAACAGATAATCATCCTAGATAAGAATCCAAGCAGTATATGTCTATAGAAACTCAAATCTCTAGCACAGAGCAACAAGGATAACAATCGACAAAGATTTGTAAGGAAAGTTTTATATAACGTCATGGGTGACAAATATATATGATTTCAAAGTAAAACTATATACAAAATCCAACAAAAGAGAAATACACAGAGAGGAGAAGAGATAAATCACAAATCTTTCGGTTTGTTAGCACCGATCAATGAGAAATCCACCTCCAATCATCCATAAGCAAAGCCCTAATATTGTTTTCTAAGATAATCTATCAAAAATGAGATTGATGGAATTTGGGAACAAAAACACCCCAAAAACCATAACCTAAAATGAAATGAAAATGAAGTTATAAAATAAATCTCAGCAGACCGTTCTAAGCATCCTCAACGCGCTAAACATAATGCCTGATATTTACACATTAAACCTCCTAAACCGCACTAAGCACGCTATTCGTGCTAAGCGAACTCAAAATCTATGCTTCTGCCAAACTTCACAAAATCACTCATAGCGCGCTACAACTCCACTTAGTGTGCCTTCCTGTACAAAACTTTCTCAAAAATGGTCTTTTATTCCAAAAATGCGCATCCAGAGTCGTGCCTTCAACACCTTATTCCTCGATGCTCTAAATATGCAATAAATACCTATAAAAAACATTAAAACTATCAAACGTTACACTATGTACATAAAAGTACAATTATTTGCGAAGTAAGTATCTACACAAAAGTCGGGATTATTCAACGATTATTAACAACAAAGAGTCGATAAGTGCAACAAAAAATATATACAAAAATAGCTATAATTCGCACTTATCAAACTCTCCACAACTTGAACTTGTTTGTCCTCAAACAAGGCCAAACAACTCAAAGAACCAAAAGTAATCAACCAAAGAATCATGAATCAATAAGTTTGAAATATGAAAACAAATGTATGATTCAAGCAAAAACGCACACGCAAGGTAAATACTTACTACAATCCTACAACAACATCATGTAAATGAAACGAATCTTAAAAACAAAAATCATACTAAACATTCTAAAATAAACTCAATCATGAATCACACCTAGTAAAAATTCATCGGTAGATTAAGAACACACAAAAGTGGGGAATAAAAAAATACCCATCCACAATCTTGCAAACAAAAGACTAAAGTATGTATTCATCCAAAAACTCATAATGAAAATACAAAGGCAAGAATCACAAGGGTTTTTCAAGGTTGTAATATGACTTGGTTAACAAACAAGGGATAAGTTCTAAAGCTAATCGAAATAAAAGCTTGCCTTAACATGAGGGAGTGATCAACTCACAAAGACTCAAGCAACACAATTTCAATCAAACTTTTTCTTCATTCCAAAATTCTCAAACCAATCACAATACTTATTCGCACAATTATTCGAACTCTTTTTTGTTTTTTTTCTTGTTCAAGGTTTTTTTTCTCTTTCTTTTTCTTTTCTTTTCTTTTTCTCATTTTTTTTCTTTCTCAACCTCATAGCAATCAACCACAAGTGCACAATCATTTTTATCCCCAACATGAATTCAACCATATCATAATGTGAATACTCCTTACTTTATAAATCAAGGTAAAAATTCAAACCATAAATCGTAGTTGAGGGTTCAAGAAAACAAAGAATCAATATCCATACAAAAAGATGAACCAAACACTCATAGACAAGCATTTAGCCCAAACAACATGGACATCGACAAAAAGTAAAGCATTTTGCTGAAGCGGTAAGCAAAAAGTAAAGTATTATTTTACCAGGTGATATATAGGTTATCTTGTATCACGTCCATAGAGATTGGTGTATTGAATTGTCGTTCGACATTCTCTCGTTAATGAGTTTGGGGTTTGAATGGGTTGGTTTATATAGAAAGGCATCAACAGAAAATAAATGTATAAAAAGGAAAGACAAACTTATCCGGCTCGAATGTACTCTACTCGTCACAGTCTTAAACATATCGACCAATTATACTCAGCCTATAATATTCATCAATGTCAACATGTATCAACCATAACATCCACTATATCATCTCGATGATGATTTCTCAACCAACCTCAACAACACATAAGTCAACCATGCTAATCGCGTCGACAATCTCTCAGAGCGACACAACCAACAAAGATGCATTAATTACAGACACCCAAGTGAATTAAAACTCTAAATCTATCTATAGAATCCAGAAACTATAAGATAATCATCCTAGATAAGAATTCAAGCAGTATATGTTTATAGCAACTCAAAACCCTAGCATAAAGTAAAAATCAAGGATAACAATCGACAAAGATTATAAAGCAAGTTTTATATAACTCCATGGGCGATAAATATACACGAACGCAAAGTAAAAATACATATAAAACCCAATAAAAGAGAAATACATATAGAGGAGAAGAGATAAACCATAAATCTTCTAGTTTGTCAGTGCCGATCAATGAGAAATCCACCTTTAATCATCCATAAGCAAAAAGCCCTAGTGTTGTTTTCTAAGCTAATCTATCAAAAATAAGGTTGATGGAATTTGGGAACAAAAATATCCCAAAAATCATAACATAAAAATAAACTAAATCTGTTTTTATAAAACTCAACTCAGCTGACCGCACTAAGCAGCCTCAGCGTGCTAAGTTGACTGCCTGATATTTACATATTAAACCGCCTAAACCGCGCTATCCGTGTTAAACAGGCTAAAAAATATGATTATGTCAAATCTTCAAAACTATGTGCAACGCACTGGGAAATGAGCTTAGCGAACTCGCGCTTAGCGGGCAGACTGCGCTAAACGCACTCTCCTGGGAAAAACTTATCGAAAATGGTCTTTTATTCCGTGCCTTCGACACCTTATTCCTCGATGCTCCAAAATGCAACAAATTCCTATAAAAGAAGTAAAATATATTAAACGATACACTATATACATAAAACACAAATAAACACAAATTAAACGTATTTACACAAAAGTCGGGATTATTCAATGATTATTAACAACAAAGAGTCGATAAGTGCAACAAAAAGTATATACAAAAATATCTACAATTTGCACTTATCAAACTCTCCCAAATTTGAACTTGTTTGTCCTCAAACAAGGCCAAACAACTCAAAGAACCAAAAGTATTCAACCAAAGAATCGTGAATCAACAAGTTTGAAAATGGAAAACAAATACTTACCATGTAAACGAAACGAATACTAAGTACAAAAGTCATACTAAAAATTCTAAAATAAAGCAAGCTCAATCATGAATCACACCTAGTAAAATTTCATCGGTAGATGAAGAACACCAAAAGCGAGGGACAAAAAACACTCATCCACAATCTTACAAACAAAAGACTAAATTATGCATTCATCCAAAAACTCATATTGAAAGTACAAAGGCAAGAATTACAAGGGCTTTTCAAGGTTGTAATGTGGCTTGGTTAACAAACAAACGATAATTCCTAAGGCTAATCAAAACAAAAACTTGCTTAAACCTAAGGGAGTGATCAGCTCACAAAAGTTCAAACACAAAATTTCCATCAACTTTCTTCATAATCCCAAATCCGTCACACCAATCACAATATTTATTAACACAACATTATTCCATACCCTTTTTGTTTTTCTTTTTCAAAACTTTTTTCTCTTTTTTTCTTTCTTTTTCTTTCTTTTTCTTTTCACTTCTTTTTCACATTTTTTTCTTTTTCTTTTCTTTTCTCACATTTTTTTCTTTTTCTTTTCTTTCACAACCTCATAGAAATCACAACATAAGCACATAAACATTTCTCTCCCCAACTTTAATTCAACCATTATCATAATGTGAATACTTCCTATTTTCCAAGGCAATGCAAAAATTCAAACTATAAATCATAGTTGAGGGTTAAAAAAAAACAAAGAATCAATGTCCATTCAAAAAAGAAAACCAAACACTCATTAAACAAACATTAGGTCAAAAATAACATGGACATTGACAAAAAAACTCAAAAGAGATTAACAAAAGTTCATACACTCACAAGCTGAATTGACTATTTGACTAGACAATTGTACTCAAAATAAGACAAAATGTCTTGATCACTTTTAATATATCCTCCAAATTTCAGATAATATCTCGTGTTTCGGATATTGATAGACTATTAATTAAATTAATTTACTTAATATTAATTAAATTAGTTAAAATAAAATAAAATTGGAAACCTAAAACAATTATCTCAGGGCAACCCTTTTGGACCAGCTCTAGATTCTTAATCGAGATACCAATAAAGTGGAATATACATATTTAATAATTCCTCATTGTCTCTTTTGTTGATTAAGTATGTGTTTAGTTATATAATGATAATACTTAATTTTGATTAAATTAATTTTAATAAAAAATAATTAAATATAAAATGTTTATGTTAGGATAAATTGGAATAAAATTAATTTTTATCAATTTATTGCTTAGATTAAAATTACAATTACTAAAATTGAATGACATGTAATATTATTTAGAAGTATAATAAATTAAATAAATAACAACAGAAGAACGAAATAATAAAAACTGATCTTGTTCATAGTAAAAGTCAAGATCTTTATATTTTCTAAGAAAGAATAGGATTTTGTTGTTTCTAACAATTTCAGTTTACAAAATTCATTAATTTATAAATGATCCCAACTAAAGAAAATTCTCCAAAGTTTAAATGAATCTTTCTTCAACCTCCATAAACCATGTAGTAAGCTCTCTATTTTCATTAGTACAATGACTACATCTATAAAACTCATGAAATCAAGACTCTATCATAATTTAAGATATGATCGTAAACGTTGATCAAACGCTCAACAAGACAGTTTGGCCGAGTGGTCTAAGGCGCCAGATTTAGGCTCTGGTCCGAAAGGGCGTGGGTTCAAATCCCACAGCTGTCAATTATTTTTGGATTTGTTTTTTGTGATTATATCTATTTCATGTGTTTACGCGGAAGCAGAAGAAAGAAATGGCGGTATATCTCAGAAACCGAAAATTCTCACACTTGTTCCCTCTAACTCGCTTTCTGAACTCACCGAGATGGATCGAAACCATAGCCTACGAAGAAGCGCGTGCTCACTCGGAAAAACCCTACACTTCCACGGCCGTAATCATCCATGGCTTTCTGGGATCCAACAGAAACTGGAGATCGTTCTCTCGCAATCTCTTGGCGACTCTCTCCGATTCCTCTCCCTCTTCAAGTATCACTCTCTCTCCGAATTCTCCATGCAAATTTTGAATTGAAATGATTATGACGTGTTTTGTTTGTGTGTAGATTGGAGGACGGTGTCGATGGATATGAGGAATCACGGGAAATCGGCGGAGAGGAAACTGGATCCGCCGCATGATTTGGTGAATGCGGCTAAAGATTTGGCGGATTTGGTGAAGGCGGAAGGTTGGGATTGGCCTGAGGTTGTTATTGGGCACTCCATGGGTGGAAAAGTGGCTCTGCAGTTTGCTCATAGTTGCACTAGTGGTCAATATGGTGATTCTGCTCAATTGCCTAAACAGGTTATCTATATGCCAAGAACTATTTCATTATCGATTTTAATTTGAGGCGTTTTTAGTATAGAACTATTGCACTTTGTATGTTGCTTATTACAGCTATTAAGTGAATTGCAATATCCAGTTATTGTTTATAAGAATTTTCTCTTTTTATTCATGCTGAAGAACAGCTTTGGGTATTGGATTCAGTCCCTGGAGAAGTGAACACTGAAAACAAAAGCGATGAAGTCCGCAATGTTTTAATGACTTTGGAAAGTTTACCGTCACAAATCCCATCTCGAAAGTGAGACTCTATCCCTAAACTATTCTCTTCCATGTTTGTATTAAGGTTGTCAATAGGCCAGTAGTCAATTTGTTGCAAGTCTTGGCGTTATGTGTTGTTTTGACGAGACCGTGACCTGATTGTTTTCTAATGTCTAAAAAGATTGATGTCTTGAGTTTGTTATAAGTGCCGTCTTTACCCTTTTTACAGTATCCAAATGTAACTGAACACTGCTACAAATTACAATACATGAAGTCTCCTCTTTCCAATCTATTTTTACTTTTAGGCTGAAATGTACTTCGCACCTCTTTTCAGGTGGCTTGTGAGTCATCTGATGGGACTTGGTTATTCTAAAACATTGGCAGACTGGATAGGCACCAATCTGAGAAAAGAGGGTGATCATGAGACATGGATATTTGATCTTAAAAGTGCTAAGGAGATGTTTGATTCTTACTGGTAAATGAAGCAAATTGACTTGTTTTGAGATCAAAATGAATGTTTAAAAACAGTCTAAAGTTTTGCTTATATTTATTTTTGTTCTTTGCTCATCTCAAGTGTTTTCTGTGATATTCCTCTGCGACAGCACCCAAGTAACAATCCCAAATGTTAAAATTCTGTAGGGAAAAGTCCTATTGGAATCTATTGGAGAACCCTCCAAAAGGTATGGAAATAGTAATTGTGCGTGCCGAAAAGAGTGATAGATGGGACCAAGAGGCTATCAAGCGGATCCAAAAACTAGCTAGTCGAGGAGGAACCGATTCTGTTGGAAAGGTTTCCTTCTGTGTTCTTCCAAATGCTGGTCATTGGGTTCATGTTGACAACCCAAAGGGACTTCTTGAGATTGTGGCTTCCAAGATGGCATCCCTTTAGTTCCTGTTTTATTTGAACTGTTGGGGTGTCCATTCATCATAGGAAAATTCTTGTGTCCAAGAGTTGAAATTCATAACAATAAGCAGGAGTGGCTGGTTAGTAATAACTTAAAATTTATAGGATACCAAATTCTTTCAATAAATTTATTGTACACATTGACATTTTCGTTGTGCACTCCTCATTTGCCACTTCATTGCCACACCTCATAACTGAAGAAATAAATACCGAGATATATTCATTTATGGCATTTTCACCTTCAAAGTAATGTTTTTACTATTATTTTTTTATGTTTATACATGTATCGTGTGTTTAGATGAATTTTCTTTGGTTCTTGTAGTGTTGTTTTATAAGGAGAATGACATTTTTTACTTTCATCGAGGAGGAAACCATAGAGAAAAAAGGTTTTAAAATTTAGGTTATATGGTGCACGTATTCATTTTCTCTTATTTCCCTCTTGGTTGGAGCTCTGCCTATGACAAAACAGATTCACAATCTTTTCTCACTCTCTAATAAAGGACTGTTTGCAATTTCATTTTTATTAGAAAAAAAAAAAACATAACCAGAGTTGAAGAGGAGAAAAATAATATGGTGAAGATTCATTGAGTCTGGAATCCTGGATAAGTAAATTTAAATGTATCGTTTGTGCATATGAACAATAGTCCATACATATTTAAAAGGGAGAATCTAATGTCAATCACACTAATTAGAATTTTACAATTTTTACCTGTAAAAGTTTAAAAACAATTGCTTCATTAAACTAATAACAAAAAATAAAATTTAAATACAGAAAATGATCCTTATATGAAGATAATCGGTTGCTAAAGCATTTAGCTATCTAATTAATGACAATCGTTTGAACTAATCTTCGTCTTTTTCATTAAAGCCAAAATGAAAAACAAAACAACCCTAATTTATTCATTCCATTCAATATATTTTTTCAATTTAACTTCATGATCAATCTCAAAGAAATGTATTAATATACTGAAGTTACTATATAAACTAACTTGTCTTAATTCTAATTTGGTTTAATTATTTTTATTTTCTAATAATAATAATATAAATTATTATATTTAAAATAAAAATATAAAAAACTTAAAATAAATTAAATTACCTTAAATGATAACATAGAAATAAACAAAAAATATATTTGAGTCACCATAAAATTTAATTAAATTAAGATTAAATTATGAAATTAAACTCATTGACACATTTATTTATGATAAATGTGTTATTTTTTTCTTAAGTTTGAAAAATTTGTTACATTTAATTACCAAAGAAGGTTACCAAATATATCTAGCAAAATCCCAATCATATTTTAAGTAATTAAGCTCATAATGTCTTTACAGGTTGAAATAGAGAATCTAACCTATATAACATCTATTTACCCTTGGGGTTTGTGAAGTAAATGTGTGTTCCGTCTGGCTCTTTCTTCTACTTTCATGGGGTTATAGTTTTGCCGTGATTCAGCATCATCACTTCTCACAGAGAAATTTATGTCTAAAAATTGTTGGTCATGGTACGAGTGCACTTTTCCTATGATATTCTTATTATTGGCTGCAAATTTACGCCTTACATTTTTCTTTGCTGTCTTTATTCAACTGTTATTTTTCTGTAATCTCCCCTGACAACCGATTCTTACGCTACATATTTTCTATGATGCTTGAGGGTTGGATATACAACTCCTATATGTTGGAATAATATAGCAAGTGTGGGTAGTGATAATAGTCTCACATTGGATAAGAATATGAAGACTTAAGCATATATAAGTGAGAAAACTCACTCACCTATCACCTTAAGGTTTTAGGTGAAGAAGTGGTGTGTCTCTTACAAATGTGTTTGTTCTTACACTATGCATCGATGCTCCTAGAATCTCCCCACAACATGGTATCGGAGCTTGTTTGTGATTCAGAGTGAATCTAATGGCAAACGGATCAACAACATCAACACAATTTCCAGCAAATAATCTAATGGCAAACGGATCAACAACATCAACACAATTTCCAGCAAATTTACCCGTTTTCAAAGTTGAAAACTATCAACGATGTGTGGCACAAATGAATGTTATTTTCAGATTTCAATCAAGATTCAGCAAGAAAGTTGGAAAAGAGAAATCGAAGCAGCGAAAGAATCTTGCTGGTCATGAGAAATCAAGCAAGAATACTGATTCGAAAGGTGTGGACAACAAGTATTATGGGAAGAAAGTTGACACGAAAGATGTGCAATGTTACAATTGTAAAGGTTTTGGCCACTACGCTAGAGAATGTCGAAGAAGGAAAGCTGCAAAGTCGAAAGATAGTGATGAAGCTCAATATGCACGAGCTGAAAGTAGTGATTTTGATGATGTGTTGTTAATGGTGAGCACTCAATCGAACACCGAGAAAAACAACATGTGGTATATGGATTCAGGATGTAGCAACCACATGACTAGCAATAAAAACTGGTTTACCAAGTTAGATGAGTTAGTCAAAAATGTGATAAAGTTTACAGATGGTAGGCATATCAAGTCAGATGGTAAAGGAGATATTTCGATTATCAGGAAGGATGATCGAAAGTCTATTATCACTGAAGTTCTATATGTACCTTCAATGACAAGTAACTTGATAAGTGTAGGTCAATTGCTTGCAAAAGGCTTCAATATGAAGTTGGAGAATAATCAGATGAAGGTATATAGGGATGATGGGAGGCTAATAATGAAAGCACCATTGGCGGAGAATAAAACCTTCAAAGTCAAACTCAACACATCAGATAACAAATGTCTTGCTTCGACTACAGAAGAAGACAAGAACTGGCTATGGCATCACATGTATGGACATCTAAACTTCAAAAGTTTATGTATGCTCAATAAGAAAATAATGGTGCTTGGGTTGCCGTATGTGAAGGAACCAAAGCAGATATGTGAGGAATGCTGCAAAGCTAAACATGCAAGGAAGGCATTCAAACGTGACTTGCCTATAAGATCAAGGCAAAAACTAGAGCTGGTTCATTCAGATGTGTGTGGACCATTTGAAGTAAAGTCCAATGGAGGTAACATGTATTTCCTTACTTTCATTGATGAATTCACCATACATATGTGGATTTATCTTATTGCAAGGAAGAGTGAGGTATTCACATAATTCAAGAAGTTCAAGTTGCATGCTGAGAAACAAAGTGGCTGAAAATTGAAGAAGTTAAGAACTGATGGTAGTGGTGAATATACTTCAGCTGAATTTACCAGATTTTGCAATGAGGAAGATATAGAGCATGAGGTTGTTGCATCCTATATGCCTCAGCGTAATGGCATAGCTGAGAGAAAGAATAGAAGTGTACTGAACATGACAAAATGTATGTTGAAAGATAAAAATATGCCTAAAAGATTTTGGGTTGAAGCAACTTCGACAGTAATATACATTCTAAATAGATGCCCAACGAAGAAGATGGTTGAAAAGACACCGCACGAGGCTTGGACAGGGTCGAAGCCAAATGTAAGTCATCTTAGAATTTTTGGATCAATGTGTTTCATGCATGTACCTGAAAAATTGAGAAAGAAGTTGGATGATCGAAGTGAAGTCATGGTGCTCATAGGTTATCATCCGACTGGTGCAAACAAGCTGTATTCGCAAGTCGAAGATAAACTAGTGATCAGTAGAGATGTTCTTGTAGACGAAAGCAAAGGACGGGATTGGAGTCGAAGTTCAGTTCGACAAGAATTAGACACAGTCACAACTGTGTTCGAAGAAGATGAAAAGAATGAAGCTTCGACAAGTCAAAATGAACAAGGTGATACTTCGACTGATCGAAATGAAGAACCACCTGTGCAGAATGAAAGAAGATCCACAAGAACAAGAAACTGAGGCTGATTGGATATGAGAGGTTTCTAGATCAAGCAATCGATGCTGATGGGGACTTAATCGAAGAAGCCATGATGATGGCTGAAGCAGAACCAATTGACTTGGGTGAAGCCTTGAGCAATTAAAATTGGTGTGAAGCCATGAAAGAAGAACTTAGAGCCATTGAGAAGAACAACACTTGGGAGCTTGTCGAAAGAATCAACAAGAAACCAATTGATATGAAATGGATCTACAAGGTGAAACGAAGGCCAAATGGTGAGATTGAAAAGTACAAGGTAAGACTGGTGGCCAGAGGTTTTCAACAACAACCAGGTATTGACTTCGATGAAGTATATGCGCCTGTTGCAAGGATCGAAACAATTAGGATTGTTATTTCGATAGCTGCAAGTAGAGGATGGAAAATGCACCAACTTGATGTGAAGTCAGTATTTTTGAATGGGCCATTGGAAGAAGAAGTATATGTTACTCAACCACCAGGTTTCAACATCAAAGGACATGAGTCGAAAGTGTACAGATTAAGGAAGGCTCTATATGGCTTGAAGCAAGCTCATAGAGCTTGAAATAAAAGGATAGATAGCTTCCTAATCGAAGCAGGTTTCACAAAGTGTGTCTCCGAACATGAAATGTATGTAAATGATGTCGAAAGTGTCAATCGAATCATTTTATGCCTCTATGTTGATGACTTACTCATTACAGGAGAAAACGAAGCTGAGTTGATGAAGGTAAATTCGAAGTTAATGCAGGAATTCGAAATGTCTGATTTAGAGAATCTCTCTTATTTCTTGGGAATGAAATTCAAAGACGTCGAAGAAGGAGTGTTCTTGCATCAAACGAAGTATGCTCAATATATATTGAAGAAGTTCAATATGAGCAACTGTAAGGCAGCTGTTACTCCATTAGAGACTGGAGCAAAGCTGAAAAAGGAATCAAATGATGAGTTTGTAAGTTCGACCCTTTACAAACAAATCATTGGATTCTTGAGGTATCTTTGTAATACTAGACCAGATATCTGCCAAAGTGTAGGATTGTTGAGCAGATTTATGGAGAAGCCTCAGGAGTGCATCTCATTGTAGTAAAGAGGGTGTTGAGATATATCAAGGGAACCATTGATCATGGTGTACTATTACCAAAGAAATCGAAGAACAATATAGATGTCGAAGTGCAAGGATACAC